ATGTGCATACATCATATGAAAAATATTAATTAATTAAATAAATTAAGGTCCTTTTGGTTACAATGGAAATTGGAATCAGCTGGATTGGGATTTTATTCCCAAAACAGGGGAGGAAATGACCGTTCTACTAAGAGTAAGAATGGATTCCGATTCCATCAACCAAACAGTTGGAATTAGACTGAGCCATTCCAATTCCAATTCCAGACTCCTATTCCCACGAATCAAATGGGACCTAAGTGTTACTGACAATTGATCCCCATCCAAGAAACATGATATTACAAAGATTAAAAAAAGAATCAGAGAAGGAGAAAGAGGACTCTACTGTAGAAGGAAAAACATTTTGACCTTTTCAATGTCTTCTAATCTTCCTAATATGAGGATTAGTCATAAATCACAGTATATTTTCCTTGTAAACAAGAGAAGTAGGGTTTGAAGATAATATATGTAGTTGTTAACCATCTTCATTGTTGTTAGAATTTTGGATCAATACTCTGCAATATGAGAAAACAACTTGTGTTCATTAATTGAACCAACAAATATGAACACATCCTTCTGTGCAACATGGAGCACGTGCTTCCAATGAGAGAGGGAGACCAGTGTGAAAGGAAGAAAAGGGGTGTATTTCACATACTCTCTTAAGCTCTTATAAATGGTCGTTATAGTTATTTTGATAACAGTAGGATTAGGACCACATTATTATATTGTTAAATTACTCTAGAAAACATTGGACTTTATTAACTATTATCTCCACTACAAAAGCTGCTATTCCAGTTTCACTCAATTATGGCTTTCAAAAAAAAAAAGTTTCACTCAATTATACCACTAAACGTTTTAGTGCTAATTAATTATTTTCAAACCAAATACCCAAATTCACATTTTGATAAATAGTCCACAATTTTGAGAAAGCAGCAATAACTGTTTCAATCACCTTTATGATTGTAACAATGAAAAGATAAGCATAAGCTGCCAGCCATTCTAGCCATCTTCTTTATTTAGCATTTACCATTTTGTGTTTGGTTACAAAACCAATTTGTTATTTTTAAGATATTGGGGGGGGGGGGTTATGTGTAAATACTTCATTTCTATTTTTATATTTTTAAGACAAAAATTACAAATTTATATTTCAAAAAACTATTGCAGAATTTTTTTTTTCAGGAGTAGTAACTCTGCTATGAACCATTGAATTATAATGACATGGAACAGTCTAGGTATTTTTCACTTATTCCTTGTAAATTTGTAATTTGGATTTCTATTCTAAGAACCTATTTTAAAACAAATGGAGTTAATTTTGAGATCAGTTTCACTCAAGAGTCAGCTGGATCAATTTGATACTTTGTCCACTTTAATTTGCACACTTGAGTCAATTGATTCACTTAAGTGATCAGTTACCTTCTAAAAAAGAGAAAAAAGCTCAATTGGTTCACTGGGGAAACACTTTCACAAGCAAATTTGAAACAAAAATAAATCAGAATTTTATTTAACTCATTTGCATTCCCTTATATATATATATACCAAAATAAATGAAAATTCCAGGGTAATGATTAAAAACAAATCAAAATTTGCATTGCAAACAAACTAGACCTAATATCAAAGGCTAAATATTATATTTCAAATAAATAATGGAAATGGAAAAGTACTTAAAAGAACAAAAGTACCATCATGGCCATAGCAAGCAGGGTAATTAGAAATTTAGCTATAGCATTTCATATGTAATAATCATCTTTTTCATTTTTAATCATCACTCACGAAGACTTGCTCTTATTTTTATTCTATAAACTACTCTTCTTTATCATATGACCAAGTGTACCAGCTCCATGTTTCTTTGTCTTAAGTTCATCAAAATACTAACTCTGAACATCCAAGGAGTTCTCTATCCCCTCAAGCATATGACGCTGCAGCCTAAGCTCATGAATCAAAAGATTAGATACAAAACTATGGCAGTACAAATGATTTGAGTGTAAATTCTGACCTATTTTTGTTTTAAATTTTAGCTTATTTTGTTTGATTGCAATGCAAATGAAGTAAATTAAAACATGAAGCAGAATAAAGTAAAACCCAAAACGAAATTAAACAAGAATTTACATTTTTTCATTTGCACTTACATGCATTTGTACTAATACAAATAAAATTGCACTGCAATTAAACACAGCCTAAAGATTTCACTTTGTCCTAAGACTCAAGAGACTAATTTGAATAGAGTTACCTTTGTAAGATCAATTGGCACATAGAGATTTGAGCTTATAGAGGATTTTCTTCCCTGTAGAATAATAACATTCAAATTCTTGGTTTAAGAGAGGTTCCTAGATAGTAATAAAACAAGCTAGATCATAAGAGGACAAGTCTAGCCGTTTCACTAGCCTTTCTTTAGCTAGAATGAGTCAGAATATTATTGATTATAAGGAGATTATTAAGAATTAATATAAAATTAATTTAAGTTGGTTCTTGGTTTTATTCCCTCTCAGAATTCATGCATATGAGAACTTAATAAGAAATTGTATGAGCGGGCCCATATTGGACTTGACTTTGGATGTTAAGGGAGATTTTTATTTAAGAAATACAGACGCTTCTCATCTGTACCATTATATTGAGCTAGCCAGCTCCAACTTTTCTGTGAAGCCCAACAGACTTTTCATTTTTTTTTTTTCCTTTTCATCTACTCAAATATTTATAGTTCACCATTGCAGTAGCAACCATCTGTAGCCTATCCTAGGCAGCAGCAGACTAATGGAAATTGGTCACTTCATTCCATTCTATTACCATCCCAAACAAGGGCAATGTGTGTTTGTGTTTTGGTTGGACCCTTGCAGCCTGGGCTATAGTCTTGAGGAGTGAACAATGGTGTGTTTGAAATGGACTTCAATAGAAGATTAAGATTGATTTTTTCTCTGATTTTTGCAATGAACTCTATAAGTGCTTCAGCATGGTCTGAGGTACCCTATGGCCACTAATAAGTCCTATATAAATACAGAAAAAAAAAGAAAAAAAAAACTCAGTAGGTTTGTGTATCCTTCCCTTTTATTAGTATCAATTTGAATAATTTATAGATTATTTGTTTCCTTACATGTATAGCCACTAAAAGATTAAAAATAAACAAACATAAAATCCTGAAATCTATATATTCTTCTTTGAATCATTTTTCTATAGCTTTTACAGCATCTTTCTTTTGCTAACAAGAAAGGAATTATATTGACAAAAGTTAAAAAAGAAGCTTTATATAGCTAAAGAAAAGGAAAGAGTCTCAAGAAAACACCCATACAGCGATGATAGTAACCAAGGCTATTAGTTCCTAAATTAATCCACCAGTGATGATAGCAACCTGCTGAAACCTACCATTTAGTTTTCACTGAGTAGGGTTGTATAACTTAAATTTGATTTAGATATCCTGTCCAAACCAACAACTCAGTCCCCTTTTCCTTCACAAAAGGGCCTTGCAAACCGGCCAGATATTTTCAGGAAAAAACCAATATGATTCTCATAATCAACCAGTTCAATCCGGGTCAAACATCAGAGTGTATATTAATTTTTTTTTATAAAACCAAAATGGGTCTAAACCCCTTCTAAAAATCATTTTAATTGCATAGTTCATATTAAATCTTTTAAAAATGGATAAATTTTGGATAGTGAACCACTTAGAAGAACTAGCTAAGCTCACTACAAACACATTGGTTGTAGAGGTAAAGAACAAGATCTCAACCCTTTAAAAAGAATTAAAGCACAAAAGCTCGACCCTTTGACAGAAAACAATAGATAAAGGAAACAAAAAAGAATCTTATAGTAATTGTATATCTCTAGGACTGATAAGCGTAGGAAGAGTTTTGACTGGTCAAATATGCAAATTCGACACCTCTCTGTCTGTCTCTAGCCTCTTGGAGGAGAGCGACGAAATTGTCTGTTGCAGTCAAAGTCAAAGGAGTCCCTACCCTTTCAGAAAATTACTTTTTAGGACTTGATCATGAGGTGGGTGACAAAGATTTTGGATTTTTTAATAATTAATTAAGAACATTAGCTCCTTAATTTAATTCAAAACAGTCATAAACTAATATCATAATATAGGAACACGAGTGCACCTTTCGAGCATCCAGCTGACTGTAACAGACCATGAAAAAATTCACCAATTTCTCAGGAGTTTTTGTAATGAGAAATCGAGTAATTTATAATCCAATTTTTAGCAGGAATAGAGAACAATTTCTCTGGTATGTGCTAAATATATCAAATCCATTTTGGTTAAGATGGATTCATTTTTTTTTCATGCATATACAGACAGAATGAAAGGCCAAAACTTCAAAAAAAAAAAAGAAGTAATTCTCATCGAATAATAAACTGATTAACTCATGTAAATGGAAGTTAGCTACTTGAAAGTCTAGGTGGGTTATCACTTATCAGGTCTTATGTATACTTCTCTATTTTTCTCTCTACCCAACCGAAAAGTAGTAAGATATGAATAATCAAGTCCCAAGCAAATCTATTAAAACCATCCCTTCATCTGAAGGGTACCCTCATTAAATCAAAGATGTCCATCTTGTTTTTTTTTTTTTTTTTTTGATGAAAAATAGAAACTTGGATGATTAAGCAGTTCATGCATACAGGAGATGGGGCCATGCTTATATATATTCATGCATGGCCATTACGTCCATAACCCCCCATACGTATCCAAAACCTTATATATTCTACATATTTTCACTGTATATATTTATATTTGTAATCTTTCCAAACTGAGCCTGAGAAAGTAAGATGGCCATTAACGTGAGAAATTGAGGTATCTAGGGTTTTACAGAGAACATGAAGTGCCTCCAACTTGAACGAATATTAATTAAATATTCAGAAAGCCTTCGGAAAATGTACAAACGTTAAAACTCGGAATTGGGAATCACGTGATGCCATTAAGACAAACCCCCCCCCCCCCGACCGATATTTAATTACTTTATAACTTAATTAATTACATTAAATAAAAACTTAGAGAGAGAAAGAAAAGAGAGAGAGAGAGAGGCAATAGAAGTCGGTTAAAGAAATAAAGAAAAAGAACTAGAGAGAAGTAGTCTGTTCTGTCTAAGTTAAGTTTTCTTTGGTAAATTGGTGCTAACACAGTGGGGACCTATGAGGGATGCCTTTTCTTCTACTAATGCTTGTGGCCATGTCTTCGTCTGAAACCTTGCTAGCTGACCTTGCGCACACGTACAACCCACTTCTCTTCTTGCGAATAAAGTCGGTGCACGCGACGCTCATATTCTCAGACCCAGATGACCCCGACGATGATGTGCTCATTGGCTCGTCGCTGTCTACGATTGTGGAACGCGGTGTCTCGTTGGTTGCCTCCTCGTCTCCTGCGTCCTGAGGAACCAGGAAATCCGAACTCAGTTGTAACGAGTTGCATGTCCTCAAGTATGGAGAGAGATTCTTCTTATGCTTCAGTACGAAATCCACCTGATGATATATATCAATGAATCAAGTATATATATGAATATATTGATTGGGATTAATTCTTCTGAAAAAATCAAAAGCTTCGACATGATGAGTCTTACCTTGCAACCCAGAGAACAATGGATATAAGGTTCTTGCAGGCTCCGATCGCAGGAGGTGCAGTAATTGCCAGAGCCCTTGAACTGCCTGCTCTGGGGTCTCTTCTTGATGAACACCACTTTGGCGCTGTTTATGGTATAGGCCTGAGAGAGAAGAATTAACAGAGAATTATATTCAAACCAAGAAGTAGTATTGTATTAGTAATTGATAAGAACGCGGTAACTGAGGGGAAGAAAAAGAAGAAGATGCAATTTCCTTCAACTGATCACCTGAACATTAGAGCAGTCAATGAGCTTCTCAAGGTCCTCCAGCCGAACTACGTCGTGATATACGTATCGACGAACCTGAACGAGTCTGTGGTATCTGTGGGAGGGCAAACAATGGGGGCAAATACTGGTGCAACAATCCAAACACAATATGTTCTTCTCGTTCTTCTTCGCAGTCTCGTGCGTCGAACACCCCACGAAGAATTTCTGTGTGTAGAGGGCTTCCAACCATGCGGGTTTCTGAATTCCCTGCAAAAAGCATCAAAACGAATCAAATCGGTAGAAAGAATCAAAGAAACAAGGTGGGTTGAATTCATTATAAGAAGCAGTTGAGCAGGAGTAGTACTGAGGAAACCCACCATGATCACATCAACCACAACGACCCACCGACGACTGACGATGTCAATGATGATGATGATGGCTCTTCCCCCTTAGTTATGAACTAAGGTCATCACCAAAGTAAGAGAGGGATTAAGGTATGGAGATAAGAGAGTATTTATGGAGGACGGTCACAAGAGAAGAAAGGGTATTTATATATATTTATTCCTTGGTGAGAGAGATGCACAGCATTTTGTCAAGAGGACTGGAGTGAACAATAAAGAAAGAGAGTAAGATATGAGGAGAACGTGGGCGCGCTGTTTCTGTGTCCCCCATTCCTTACTCTTTAAACTATTTATCTCTTCTTGGCTCAAGAGCTCTAACCCTAAACTAATCTACTATTGACTCAGCTACCCAAGAAAAAAAGCTTCTTGATTCTTCTTTCATGGTTACTATGTGGTGGAGCAAAGTGACCCAATGCAAGGAAGATCAGGACCTTCTGATCCCTATCAATGGGCCAGCCTATGCTGCTTGTCCCATTGCATATAGGATTCATGGCTGGCTGTGGGATGATCTAAACCATCCAAGATAGTTGATGTATTATCAAGTTGATGATTGATATCTTATACAATTATCTCAACCATCTGATTCATACATTTGAGTTCTATAAGAAAATGGGGAAAGGGTTCAAGGAAAAAAGTCCACAGACTTGCCTGCTCTGATACTTCTGATTGCATTACTGTATAGTACCCTCTTTTCTTGTTTTATTTAAAGGAAAATATCTGGGGTGGAACCGGCTCATAGTATGCAGTTATGCACAGTGGGCCCAGACCACCGGATGCATGCCATTAATCAATCAGCAATTGCAAAGGAAAAACAAATTAAATCAAAACATGTACGAGGAAGCCAGGTTTTGGGGTGTCAACCATGGCTAACATTCAACCACTCCTCTGTCTGCATGCAACTGCAACCATGCTTCATGATTCAGTTTTGTTGCTTAACAATCTGGTTTTGTTTTTCCTTCATTTTCCTTGTAAAAAGGATAACAGTAATGATTCAGTTTTGTTGAAAAACATCACAAACAATCAAAAACTCCTCGGAATTAATGCTACAGTTAATTAATTAAGCTCGTAATACTAGTTTTGTGTAGACTGAGGAACCTCTGGGTTCTCACCAGAGTTTATTTAATGATAAAGATTATTTTTTTGGACAAATTTCTTAAATTAGCAAATCGATTAATTCTACCCTTAGTGTTTATATATTGTCTTAAAATATCCTTAAAATTTCTGATAATTATCTAATCCTTTTCTGTTATTAACGACTGTTAACGGAAATATGAAAAAGACTATCTACCCTCTACTCTTCTTTAAATTTTCAAAAGTATGCCTATCTTTGTCTACTGCATCTCGACATCCCTAGTACCCAATTATCCATCTTCTTCATCGTAGTTGATGGAAATTCTAGTGCCTAATTACCCACTAAAACTTCACAGAAAAAAACCTCCAACTTGATAGGATTTTAGACCAGACAAGACCAGAGTAAGCAAAACCTCCAACTCTGTCTTCCTTTGTTTTGCTAAGAGTCGTCGATATCTTTTTCATTGACCATCCATGACTTCAAACAACTCTTTTGCTCCGTCGTCTAGGGTTAGTTTGAAGACTGTTGGAAAAGCTGTAAATGATCTGCTGAAATGGATCAATGCAAAGAAACAATAAAGCTGTAGATGCTCCGTCATCTAGTGTGCCATGCCCCCATCTCCTCTCTTTCTCAGACACCTATGTTTGTGTTTCGTTAGTCATCGTCGACGCTTGGCTTGACCTGATTCGAATTTTCAATTATAAGAAAATTTTCTGAAGGAGTTCTCTCTCTTTCTCTCCAATTAAAAGCTTGCGCTCTCTCTGCTCCCCTGTCACACCATTTTCAGTACTTCCAGCGCCCCTATGGCCATTACTACCATTGCCACCACTGTACGATGAAACTGCGATGACGGAAACATAGTCACCGGTGGCAGCTGCAGCGACCAAGGATACATCAGAATCCTCTCCCACAAAGACAGAGAGCAACCTTGGGGGAGAAGGGATTTTCCGAGAGGAGATGGAGTGGACTTATACAATTTATCAGAAAGGATATTTTAAGAATTTCTAGAAAATATATTAATGACGGAGTGTGATGAAAAATTAATAATAAGGAAAGTTTTAGATAATTGTCACAAAAATTAAGAGTATTTTAAGATAATATACAAACAATAAAGATAGAATTAGTCAATTCCTAAACGATAGGTATACTTTAAGAAATATGTCAAAAATACCTTTTTGATTAAGAAAAGTGATTCAAGCACACTTCACTGCTGAGAATTTGAAAAGACAAAAGGTACCCATAAATTTTTGACAGACAATTAATTTACTATCAATTAGATGTGCCCAAATCACCACTCCTCTAGAATCAAAATCCAGGTTTTCTACTTTTTATTTCTTTATCATCTCACTTTCCACAGCTTTTACATTCTTGGATACTTAAGCTGGAAGCAAGTTCATGATTCTTGTGGGAATTAATTTCTTTGTAAAATTCAGAATGCAGAAATTCTGCCAAGAATCAAATGAGAATCTCTGTAAGGCATTTGGGTTGAATTCTGAGTGGGGATTTCATAGTCAATTCGACATGCAATATTCCTTCCCGAATCGCATCCTGTAATTCGATTAATCCTGTGACTATAGGTGGTAATTAAAATTTGGTAGACTGGTCAGAACCTAAACAATTGAAAATTATAAAGGATTTTATAAGGCTGGATATAGACTATAGGGTCAATTTTTTAAATCCAACCAGGTTTTGGAGTTTTATCCAAACGGCCCCTTATGCTTGAAAGAAAAAGTTCAGGATTTTTTTGTGGAATGTTTTAAAACAAAATTAGAAAATGCCATGTAATTAGGCAACTACTAATGCCACTCTTTTATTTAATTATTTTCTGTTGTAAACACTCCTCTCATAAATTTATTATTTTTTAGGGTCATTTACTAAATTGCACATATATAGTTTCATGAATTTACAAAAATATGCCTATAGTATTTATTTTACTATAACACCCCTATAGTTTGCAATCAATTTACTTAATCCACCTTCTGTTTTGTTAAATGGAAGTAAAAAATTATGGTTTTGACCCAAACATCCACTAGAACAAATTTAATTAAAAAAAAATAAAATAGAAATATCATTCTAACCCATGGTAAAATGTGAGCACTTACCTGAGAGTCTGAATCACCTACCAACAAAACACGTTCCAACCCTCTACCAACCTGATCTCGCACCATACATCCCATACATAACAGGTTCCACTTTAATGATGGGTCCCAGTCTCATGGTAAGATGTAGGATGCTAGATCAAGCCAGTAAAGGGTTGGAACATGTTCTTTTGGTAGAAGATCCCAACTCCTTAACTTGAATTATGAAGGTGTATGCACTCAAGATCTTTAACTATTTTTTGTTGTAGAGGGAGGGTCTTCATTTTAATATATATATATATATATAGATGTTTTAGTAAATGACCCTGTTTTTTTAATTAGAATCTAAATGCCAGGTATACGCGCAGGATGTGCATGCACCAAATACGATATAAAGAGAGAGAGGTTGTTTAATATTACCACCATCACTCCCCACATTTCTATAATTGTATTCACCAAACAAGGGAGTGTCCTCGTGATGCACAAACACCAGCCTCGGTGTTTATGGCTTTATGCTATATGCTGCCTGCGTGTTTCTAGCATTCCTTTCCGTTTTTCAGAGTTTTCTTATATACAGAATCCCTAAACCATGTATTAATTTCTCTCCTAATTAATGTTATACTTGAATACATTTTTTAACATTTAAATATAATTAAATATCAAATAAAAAATAAAATGGTCTAGAAAAAAGGGCATTTCTAATCTATATTTTGAGAATAAGTATAAAAAATCATGAAGCAAATATAAAATAATAAATTGTAATTTAGAAAAGTAAACTTCCTTTTTCTTCTTGAAATGACCCAAAATATAGAAATAAGATTTATTAACTGTAGTGAAGTTAATCATCCAATTGCAATTTACAATTGTTTCTCTCTGTTGAAAGTTGAAACAACCAGGGGGACCGGCTTGGCTGTTCTCTGGTTTTTATTGTCATTGGTTCAATAAACATCCTGTATAACAATGTCCTTGAAACTGATCCCACTAATTTTCTGCTTCAGTTTTAAGACATTGATCCAAGGCTTGTGTGAAATTGGGTAGAGACCATCCTACATGATCTACCTACGGCTGGTACCCACTACGTACCCAGATTGAGTTTGAGACAACAAAAACAACAAGAACCCAGCCTCTCTCTCTCTCTTTCTCTCTCTCTCACACACACATACAAACAGATGGGGCTTAGCCTACGTATTCAGGCCTAGTTGAAATTGGTCTCATGAACTGTTAAATAGTTAGAAGACAACCATATCGTTCACCTAATAATCAGGTAAATGGTTAAGTCTTCCATTATATAAGACCATGTGGAGCCTAGATGTAGCAATTTATTTCAAAACTCAGACCATCAAGATCTTTCCGTATACCCTAAATATTAAAGAATCATCACCGCTTAAAGCCTTCATCACCTCCAGCACTGGTCTGGTCTGGTCTGAGTCATATATGTATCAGAATCCGATGAATGAAGTCCTGATCTCATATTTGTTTGGATGTCGAGCTCTCTTGGCAATAAAAGGGTTCACTTGGGCTGGTGTAGATGGGGTGGGGGGTGGGGG